TATTGTAAATGTGGATACAGTTCCACTATTCCTCCTCCATGCCACGATATAGTGTTATTAGTATGAGCAGTTATAAATCCATTGCCATCCTTACTCTAACTTAAATTTTTTTATATTTAAATTTATTATTAATATCAGTAAAAATTTACACAGGCTTTGGATTTCCATTCATTCATTGTTGCTTAGCTCCAGTTCTGTATTCTCTTTGTTACTGTAGAGCAATTCAATTTATTTTTGTATATTGATCTTGTATCCTGCCACTTTGCTGAATTAGTCATCTATGTCCAGTAGTTTTCTTGTTGAGCCTTTAGGGTTTTCTAAGTAAACTATCATATCATCTGCATAGAGAGATAATTTTATCTCCTCTGCCAATGTGGGCACCTCTTATTTCCTTCTCTTGCCTTATTACTATCACTAAGACTTCCAATACAATATTGAATTGGAGAGGTGTTAGTGGGCATCCTTGCCTAGTTCCTGTTCTCAACGGGAATACCTTTGATCTCTCTCCATTAAGAACAATGTTGGCTCTTGGGTTTGTGTGTATACTATTTACTATGTTGAAGAAATTCCCCTCTAATCCTATTTTGTTGAGTGTTTTAATCAGGAAAAAGTGTTGGGTTTTAGCAAAGGCCTTTTCTACATCAATTGATAAGATCATGTGGTTCTTATTCTTTGCTTTGTTAATGTGATGAATTACATAGATTGCATCTATGTTAATGAGAGATATTGACCTATAGTTTTCTATTTTTGTGGTATCTTTACCTGGGTTTGGTATCAAGGATATGTTTGTTTCATAGAATGAGTCTGGAAGAATTCCATCTTTTTCTATTTTCTGAAATAGTTTATGTTGGATTGGTGACAGTTCTTCTCTGAATGTTTGATAAAATTCACTTGTAAAGCCCTCTGGTCCAGGATATTTTTTGGCTGGAAGTTGTTATAATACCTTTTCAATTTCTTCTTTTGTAATGGGTCTGTTCAGGTGGCCAATTTTGATTGGTGTCAGTTTAGGTAGGCTGTAAATTTCTAAGTATTTGTCCATTTCTTCTAGGTTTTCATATTTGTTTGAGTATAATTTTTCATAATATTGCAATGTTAGCCTTTTTATTTTAGTTGGTTCTGTTGTGACATTGCCCATTTCATCTCTAATTCAGATTATTTGTGTCTTTTCCTTCTTTTCTTTTGTTAGTTTTGCTAATGGTTTGTTGGTTTTATTGACCTTTTCAAAAAACCAACTCCTTGTTTTGTTGATGGTTTCAATTGTTTTTCTGTTTTCTATTTCATTTATTTCTGCTCTAATTTTTATAATTTCAGGTTTTGTAGAAGTTGTCGGGTTTTCTTGATGTTCTTTTTCCATTTGTTGGAAATGTTGGGTTAGAGAGTCAATGGTCATTTTTTCCTGCCTTTTGATATGTTTGCTTATTGCTATAAATTGACCTCTTATTACTACTCTGGATGTTTCCCAGAGGTTTTGGTAAATGGTGTTTTCATTGTCATTTGTTTCAAGGAATTTTTTATTTCATTTTTTTTCTTTCTTCTAGTAAATGGTATTTTTTTTCTATTGCCAATTTTTTGAGAAAGTGCCATACTACCTTTCATAATGGTTTACCATTTTACATTCCTAGCAGTACTGAATAAGGGTTACAATATCTCCACAACCTCAGCAGCACTTTTCGTTTGCTATTCTGTTGAACTTTGCTATTATTACTGGGATGAGATAAAGAAGAATTGATGGCTTTTAGTTGTGGTGCTGGAGAAGAGGATTGAGCATACCATGGACTGCCAAGAGAACTAACAGATCGGTCTTGGAGAGGGTGAAACCAAGCTGCTACTTGGAGGCAAGGATTTTGAAGCTCTATCTCACATACATAGCTCAGGCATTTGGCAAGGAGAGACTAGTCTATGAAGAAGGATATCATGCTTGGAAGGGTGGAAGGACAGTACAAGAGGGGAAGATTCCAGATGAGATGGATTGACACAGTAGCTGGAATAATGGGGGTTAGTGTGTCAAAGACAGTGAGATTGGCTTAGGATAGAGCAGGGTTCAGAGCTATTGTGCATAAGAGTTGCTATGACTCGTACTCAAGTGAATAGCACATAACAACTGAACAGAAATACTAAATAAGTCATTACCTGTTCCCCTTATTCAAATTTCATTGTTCAAATCTCCAGCAATACAAGACTATAGCTTTATTATTATTATTCCTTTTCATTCAATCACTTATATATACTTTGTTTGATAACATCAGTTACTATAGTACAATGTCATTGCTTACTTCTTATTATTAAAACCTCTGCAAACCTTCCCTTTCCCTTTACTCTATCAATTCATTCACTAATTTCTGCTCCTTTACCTTTCCCTGCCAGGGCTAATCCTCCAGAGGGGACAACTCTCCACATTGACATAGATTTTGAAAGAAGTGGAGTAATTAAAATGTTTCCTGAATATTCTTATATATACTAGCTAAAATGCTTATAAAACCATAACACAGGGATCCAATTTCACATTCATAGTGGAGTCAGAAAAATACAGGCAATCATAAGGGGGGGAAACATCCTTATTTAATATATCTACCTCTTTATTTTCAATTATTGGAGGGCAACATATTCTGAAGAAAAGTATATTGACAAGATAGCAATATCTTTAACATTCTTTTTTTTCTTTCCTCTTTTACATATTACGGCTGCTTCATGTGTCTCATTCTAGAGGCTACTCCTCCCAAAATTATCTAATAGATGTAAATAAGAACGAAGAACCCATACTCACATTCAACATTACAAAATCAATCTGACACAGGTGATCCATCTCAGAATGTAGAGCAGGAAAATAGACATAGCAATATAACAGTATAGGATCTTACTTTTCTAGCAAGACCAGATAAAGGTGGAAGCTGTCTTTATCTGGTCTAAGGCTAAATGTATGCCTGTAGCTTGAGGAGGGAATGTCAGAGAGGCTTTTCTTTTCTTTCCTGATAGTAGTACCACTTAAAACTGCTCCCTAAAACTCAAGACCTGGCTTAATAGTTTCCATATTGCCATCTTCATCTCTTTATTCCTAAAAGTGTAGATGGCAGAATTCAGAAATGGTGTAACAATTACAGCTA